CCCCCCGTGCTTTACAGGCATTAGCTCGTTAGTGCTTTTGTGCAAGCCTGCCTGGCTGCGTGGGGACAGGCAGCGTGCAGGGCAGGGAGGACGGGGGAAACCTGGAGGAAGAAGGGGAGCGCTGCCTGCAGACGCCCCCCCCTTCCTCCCCTCTAACGAGATTGCTGGGACGAGCCTGTCCTTCCAGCTCACCTTCCCACACCCCCCAGGCTGGGGGATTAGCAGCACTAATCCTTCCAGCAGCTCTACAGGAGGGCATCACCGCAGCTCTGGGCTGCAGGCGGGGGCAGCAAGCCCTTGACACTGGGCTCAGCAGGGTCTCCAGAGGGACCCAAGACCCTCCTGCCCACCCAGGAGAGGAATAGTCCCTCCATGGGGTACAGGCTACCTTTGGGGGTGCTGAGCCTGGCTCCTCGCTGGTGTGGGGGCTCTTGCTCTGCAGGCTCCAGAGGAAGTGGCGGATGTAAAGGAGGTGCCGGTAGATGTTGTCATCCAACGTCTCCACCTCCAGGTCCACTTTGAAGCCCCCGCTGGGCAGGATGATGGGTGGGTGATTGTCGAAGGACTCCAGCATCTCATCTGAAAGGCAGAGGGAGGGAGGCTAGCACTGGCCTGGGCTGCACCCTGCTCCTGGCTCTTGGCCACGTGCAGTCTCCCAGCCAGGATCGGGGACAAGGTGAGCCACAAGGCAGCAGCATCCCTCACTTGGGAATGCAGAAAGAGCCCCAAACCCTTCTGAGTGCGCTTTACATCTTCTGCAATATCCGAATTGCAGGCCCATGGTTATTCCTGATCGCTGCAGTTACTACAGGAGCCCCAGGGAGGGGAATTGCCTGTTTGGTTTGTACATAAAAACTTTGGAGGGAGCCTGTGGGTGACCAGAGCACAGCGACTGGAGCAGCGTGAAGCCAGGGGCTCACCAGGCTGGAAGGCGGCCGGGCTCTCCTCCTCGCTGGGCTGCCACGCTGCGATGCAGCCCACATCCATCACCGCCTGGCACTGGCTCAGCACCCGGTGGAGCTGCGCGGGGCTCAGTGCAGGGAACTCGGCTCGCAGGGACGGCCAGGTCATCTGAGCGAGGAGACAGAGCGTGGGGCGAACGGCAGAGGTGAGGAGCTGCGTTCTCTGAGGAGCAGGGGCTCGTGAGGGGGATGGGAGGAAGAGGCCGGGCAAGAAGGAGCGAGCCTGAGCATCCCCTCCTCAGTACTGCCCACCCACAGACCCACCACCCTGGGAAGGGGCAGCTGGTGACAGGTTGCAGCAGAAGGGATGTATCACTGCAGGGACCCCCAAATGCCAAGCAGGGTCTCTCCTGCCCGTGCCCATCCCGATGCCACGAGCTCCCGGCCGGGCACCCCTCACCTGGACCATCTGGGAGCCAGGCATGGCCAGCAGGTTGGCCACGCTGGCGAGTTTGGCGAAGAACTGCTGGGCGAGCTGCTCGAAGCCGGCGCTGCGCAGCCACTCCAGGAGCAGCCGCACGCTGGCCCGCAGCTTCACCCCCTGCGACCAGTGGAAGCAGCCGAGAGAGGAGCCTGCGGAGGCAGAGCACCCATCAGCAGTGTTGGGGAACAGCCCCCCACTCCCCCATCCTTTGGCCAGAGCCCAGCTCCTGCCCCAGGGGTAGGGCTGCTCCTGGGTAGCAAAATAAATCCAGGTTAACGTCCCCGGCATTCTCTAGCTGTAACTCCTGGTGGTGGCTGGACCTTGCCTGGCACTAACAGCAGGTGATGGGGCCGCTGTGTTAATGAGGGCTAACGAGCAGCCCAGTTACAAAGCAGGCTGCAGTTTATTAATGAGCTGCCCCTCCGAACTGTTCTTAGCCCCCTCTACTCAGGCTCAAAAGGGCAGCAGGGGGTGAAGATGGGGCACTTGTGGGGTTAAACCCCTCCTGGGAATGGGGACCCTGGAAATAGCAGCTGGGGCTGTGCCTGGCCTCCCCATGACAGTGCTGAGACCTGCCCATCTCCAGCCCCCTTCAACCTGCCTGAAGCCCCCTCCCTCCTGTACCCCCTGGGGTGGCACTGGGATGGACTGGAGGGTCTCCCACAGGTTAGCCAGTCCAGGCTGGTATTTGAGGAGGACTGACCCTTATCCAGGAGCTGGTTGAAGAGCAAGGTGTTTGAGAAGAAGAAGAGGTAGGCAAACATCTGGGAGGTGATCTCTGGGTGCACTTCGTACTGGTGGAGCAGGTCCAGCACCGCCTGGTAGATGAGCACCACCCTGCGGAGCTCCTCAGGCAGCGGTGGGGATGCCCGCCAGCTCTCCCGGCACTCATTCTGGAAGGGGTTGCACTCCAGGAGGGCAGGGAGCGACACGTACAGACACTGCAGGGAGAGCAGCAAGTTCACAGCAGGGCTGATTTAGGGTTTGGGGTTGGTTTTTTTTTTTCTTTGCATGAGCCAAACCCTTCCAATGCCCTCACCTCCGCAAGCTGAGCAAACCCCACCAGCACTGCTCCGGCAAGGGGCTGATCTCACTTATTCCCCTGCCTCGGTACGCTCCAATGTTGTGCAAGAGTTTAAAAAAAAAATTTAAAATTAACGTGTCTTGCACTTTTAGCAGTTGGAGGTGATGGCATGGGAAAGCTCAGCTAAAGGGATCTTAAAACGGACCTGAACCAGGGCTGATCAGCGGGGCATGAGGGTGAATGAAAAATCAGGACTGGTGGGACTGACCGTTCCCTATTGCTTAAATGGGAGAGCAGCACCTCGCGCCCACCTCTGCCGAGGCAAAAAGAGCGGCGCAGGAGCAACCCCTGCGTCCCCGCGTGCCAACGCCAGCAGACGGGCAGGGCCGTCCCGCACACAGCAGCCTTTCTCCTGCTTCACACTGCCTGCTCTGTTCCCTGCTCCCGATGCCGCCCGGCTCTCGCGGTCCAACGGCGACGGTCCAGGGGCCCCTTTCCATCGCGCCCTGAATCGCACCATTATTGCCGCGCCGGCCAGAGCCAAGCAGCTCTCCCCAAACGCCTCCCCTGAGCTGCTGCACTGCAGGCAGGGAAACGCGCCACGGTAATTCAATACGTTTCCTGGGCTGCGACCAAAAATCGGGGCACTTCAGCCCAAAGGAAAACACCTCGGCGTGATGCAACTGCCAAAGAGTAAAAGCTTAAAAAAAAAAACAAAACAAAACCTCCTGTGCAGCCCGGGGGGCTGCTGGGGATGCTCCTGCTGGCCCTGTGGGATGCTGCTGCCCACCCCCCCCGCAGGGAGCACCTACCTTGGAGATGTAGTAGACACACTGCTGGAAGGTATACATGATCACCTCCTCCAGCACCGTCATCGCCTCCTCACTGGCTGTGATGGTCGAGGAGAACAGGGACTCCTTGGAGCCTATGGGACAGAGAGGAGGTGGGGGGAGCAAACCTGCAGCAGCAAGACAGGCCAAACTCACCACTCCCCAAATTCCCGGGGTAGGGGTTATTCGTGCTCCTGGGCTGGCATCACCACCATGGCAACCCTCAACGTCTCCTCCTGCCCCAGGGAGCACCCGCCTGCCACCTCCCATGGCTCACAACGCTGCAGCATGGTGGCCTCTACTCCGCAGGCAGCCCAGGGCTGCATCCTCCCTCCAACAGCCCGGCTGGCCTGCAAACATTTTAACTTGCTGCACAGACCAGGCTTCTGAGGCTGATTTAATCCCTATTTCCTTTTTTTTTTTCTTTCTTTCTTTTTTTTTTTTTGCTGGCATTAACACAGGCTCACCAGCGAGCAATCCTGCAGGGCTGCCTGCAAATCCAGGTGCCCTCGCAGCAGCCGGGGGGGGGCAGAAAGCCACCCCCGAGGCATGAACCACACGCTGCCGTGGTGGGAAGGGGAGGCTCAGCTGCCAACGCAACACAACCTGACCCCGAAGCCGAGCAGCACCACGGCACGACGCGAGGCTGCTCCTCCCGCACGGATTACCCCAGCCTGCACCACGGGGACGTCCCTGCTGATGAGGATTACGGGGGGGTTAAAGGAGCATCTCGGGGGCACTGACCACCGCTTGCGGCTGGGGATTAGCAGGGTAAAGTCGTTCCGGCCAGAGAAGCAAGTGTCCAGCCCTACCTCTGACGTCCAGCTCCTCCTCCATGCTCTGGATGTAGGTGGGCGATTTCTGCTGGATGAAGTAGAGGACCTCGATGGCATTGGCCATCCAGAAGAGGATGTGCTGCAGGTCCGGGAGAAGGTCGGTGATGGTGAAGCGGGACAGGGCGGCAGGGTCCTGGCTGGGGAGACACTGGGGGTGTTACAGCTGCTGCTCCTCAGCATCCCACTCAAGCTTTTGGGGAGAAAAGAGCCAGCCTGGGGCAATGCCAGGAAAGCATTTGCACCCCGCCTCCCCCCCCCCAAGCCCAGCACCCTCTTAGGATGACGCTTTGCAAGCAAAAATCTGGTGGTTCTTGCTCTGCAGGACAGCGAAGGGGACCCTGTGGGGACCAGGCTGGTCAAGGGCCACCTGGCCTTTGTGGGGTGCCACTTTGGGAGGGGGGACTCCCCCTAACACAGCTGAACTGCAGTAAATACTCGTGGCTGAAGAGCAGCTCTCCCCAAGAAGTATGTGCTGTTCCTGCCAGCTCTGGACGGTTAAACCCAGCCTGCCTGCACTGGGCTGGTCAAAAATAAAACAAAATAAATAAAAAGCATTTGGGAAGTTTCTCACCGCTTTTTCCTGCTGTAGGAAAGGCCTGGGAAGCATCCTTGGACCTTGTCCTAAAGGATTGCTCACAGCAAGCCCCAACAGTTCCTCCAGATGCTGCTTTGGAGCCTGGATTTTGGAAATGCCTGGGAAGCCAGCCTCGCGGCCTGCCAGGACCTAGCCCCCCACAGTGTTCCCCACCCAGGGACACCACATGCCACCATCCCTCGATGCACACATGCATCAGCCCCATCCTCACTCCGCAGGGGGGTCTTCAGCATGAACAGGGTGAGACCCTCCACTGGGGCCATCCCTACTGCATCCCTCAGGGATGCCGAAGCCACGCGTGCAAAGCCTTGGCCTGGTCTTGGCTTGGAGAAGATGCCAGAACTGCTGCAGGTCCCATTCCCTCCCCCAAGCTCGCCTGCTTTTCCAGCCCCACATGTTCCCAAGCAGGCTCCTTGCAGGCACCGTGGTGAAAGGACCAGAGGGGCGAATGCATGGGATTGAGCAGGAAAACACAGCGTGCATCGGCACTGGGAGGGTGGTTATAACCAGCCACGGGCTCCCCTTGCTTGTGGAAGAAGAACTGGTTTGAATTCTCCCCATTTCAGGGCAAAATGAGGAGGGTCGGCAGGTTGCACTTACTGCTGGGACTGCTTCTCAGCCAGCTCCCGTGTCCGCTCCTGGGCAGGGAGAGAAGGGGAAAGCAAAATGAAAACCAGTGGGATGGGGCAGCACAAGCATCACCCCAACCAGCACTCGCTGCTGCCAGGCGCCGGGCTGGGGGAAGCCCCTGGGGGGGGTTCAGCAACCCCCCCACCCCACCAACACCCCCGTCCCACCACCAACTGACCCACACCGTCCTCTGGATCATTTTGGCTGCTTTGAGCAGCAGCTGCCCGAAGTCACCCGGCTCGAAGCTGGTGGCCGAGTGCTGGATGCAGAGGCAGAGCAGGAAGGCGGGTGTCAGCTTGTGGTCGTCCCCGCCCGGCTCGATCAGGGTCATGATGCGCCGCAGGAGCACGTCCTCGGCCGCCGGCTCAAACTCCAGCAGCAGCTTTCTGCGGGGTGTCCTGGGCCTGCTGACGGGAGATGGGCCCCGCTTTTTGGTGGCAGGGTCCCTCTCCTTCAGCAGGTTGCCGCATGCCCCACAGAGAGGGGGACCCTCAGGGACGGCGGGGTGCAGCGCTCGCAGCCTCAGCAGGGTCTGCGCCGGCAGCGGCTGCGCCTTCATGGGGGCCTTATAGAGGAGCAGGTAGTAGAGACCAAGGGAGAGGAGGTCCCCGTGCCGCAGCACGACCGTCCGGGCCACCTCGGCAAAGTTGACGGAGATGCCGGCGCCGGCGATGGGCTCCAGCACCAGCTTCTCTTCCCAGTGATGCCGGGAAGGTCGGAGCTTCCTGATGGTGCAGTGCAAGGGCAAGATGTCGGGGGCCGACAGGCTGATGCTGGGCTTGCTCGCCTGCGTCCTCT